GCGCCCACTCATATCCTGCTTGTTTGAGTCCAGGTAAGCTTCTTTTCAGCTTCAGTACCTTCCCTTCCTGACCATCCTTCAAGTATCCAGGGGGCGCTCGCATATAGGTACGCACTTTTAATATCGACTTGGTGTATTTCCCAGTCGCGCTGAGCAGCCATCGTTAGGACTGCATGTATCATGCTCATATTGGCCGTGGGGGCGAAGGTTTCGAAGAAATCGACCCCGTACTTCTGGCGCTGCCCATTTGCAACTAGGCGCACGCGAAGCTTCAGCTTCTCGCCGTCCGGCCCGCACTTTGTGGCCAGGACGTAATGGCATGGGATAAGGTTTACGCCTCAAGGTGCGTCTACGATTTCCCACATACCTAGCTTCTCGAGTTGACTGACTTCGTAATTGATGGCTTCTTGCCACTCTGCAGCGTCTGGGCCCTTCAAGGCTTGTTGGAGGGTCGGTTCTGGTTGGACGGCGGCCAATGCTAGGTGAATATGCGCCTCTTCATCCAAGAGGTCGAGTTCTGACGCTTCCAACAGGCTTTCCATGGTTAGGGCTGCTGTTTGGCCCTCATTCAGCGCCGCATAGTACCCTGGGGGTGGTCTTACCCTCGTCGACCTCGCTTCAGGAGTAGATGGTTGAGGTTGCTGGGCGGTAGATGGTTGAGGTTGCTGAGGAGTAGATGGTTGAGGTTGCTTAGGAGTAGAAGGTTGAGGTTGCTGAGGAGTAGATGGTTGGGGTTGCTTAGGAGTAGAAGGTTGAGGTTGCTGTGGCATGGTGATGGGCTGGACGCTACTAGGTGAGTTATTATTACCGTTGCCGCTGTTATGTTCGTTGACTACAGCAGACTCCCCCTCGTCCGGCATACCATCGGCTGCCAGGATCGGCGTGAAGGTCACATTCCTCTCCACCGAGACACGCCGTCTGCCGGGCCAATACACCCGGTATCCTTTACTTTCAGCGTCTACCCCCACAAAAACTGCCTCCTCCGCCCTCGCCTCCAGCTTACCAGCCTCCAGCATATGGACGAAGACCCTGGCCCCAAATTCATGGGCCTGCGACAAGTCCGGCTTGGACTTGCGCACCAACTCGTAGGGCGTGCTGCCTGGGATCGCCCTTGAAGGTAGGCGATTCTTGAGCCAAGTGGCGTAACTAACGGCCTCGGCCCACAGGTACTTTGGCATATCTCTGCCTAGGAGCATTGCTCTTGCATGCTCGACGAGTGTCCGGTTGAGTCGTTCGGCGACACCATTCTGTTGGGGTGAGTTGTGCACTGTTAGCTGCCGCTCTATACCTTGCTGACGCAAGTATTGATCGAACTCAGCGCTCAGATACTCTCCTCCTCTGTCCGAACGGATTTTGCGCACGCACACACCTGGTGATTGACGGGCCACCCATGCCTCATAGGACTTGAACGCGGTAAGTGCGTCACTCTTTTGTTTGAGGAACTCGAGTCGCGTCTGCCGGCTAAAGTCGTCCGTGAAACTGACATAATATTTACAGCCTCCCAAACTCGTCGTCTGCGCCAGTCCCCAGAGGTCTGTATGGACTAGTTCTCCGTATGTAAGTGCGCGCATCTTCGTTTCTCTTGGGAAGGACTGCTGAGCTGACTTAGCTTTCACGCAGACTTCACAGAACTGGATGGCGGGCGCCGGATCTATGTCTATGCCCAGGATTAGGCCCTTCTTGACTGCGTCAAGAAGGGCCGCATGTGATACGTGCCCTAGGGCACGATGGACATCATTGATGGTAAGCTTTGTCCTGGCGACGTTGGCACGATGCTTACGGTCGGACGTTACAGCGTAAAGTCCCTGGACTTGGGGTATTTCTGCGATCGTCCTTCGTTCGGGGGGAGCAGACAGTATCCTGCACATTCCTCCTTCGAACAGCACGGCCAAACCGGCGGAGGCGATCTTATTGGTGGAGATAAGGGTAAATGCCATGGAGGGGGCATATAGGACGTCTTTTAGCGTCACGGTCGTTCGTTTCGAGCCCAACGGTAAGTCCATCCTCACGTCTCCTCGTCCTGTCGCATTGACAGTAGCTCCATTCGCAGTGTATATCTTCTGCAGGGCGATCTCGACAAAGGATACGAATTTTGCCCTATCCGGGCAGAAATGAGAGGTCGCGCCGGAGTCTACTATTGCTCCTCGGCGCTCTGGAGGTACGTCCATCGATTTTGCTATGACTGCGAGGTCTGACGTAGCGAAAGTGTAGTTGTCCTTTGGCTCCGGCTCTTTGGCTACATTGGCACTTTGTTTTTGGGTGCGTCCTCCTTGTCTCTGCCGTTGATTCGGCCCCTGACCTTCTTTTCCTCCATCTTTTCGCCAACAGTCACTCTTCCAGTGGCCCTTACGATTGCAGTTCGTACAGACTGCGTCGGGGTTGGATTTTGGAGCCGAGCTCTGCGAGCTCGTGCTCCTCCCTGCGTTTGTTCTCGCGGAGAGCGCACTGTTGGTCCCGCGTTTGTTGGGACGTCGTTCGGTGAGTAACCAGTGCTCGTATTCCTCTGTGATGATGGTGATGAGTTCGTAGGGCGAGAGGGGAGTTTTCGTTATCTTGGCCGCTGCGTTCATCGACGACAGTAGCGGCCGGTAGGATTCAGGTAAGGACCCTAGGATGATGGCATGAAAGTCTGTATCAACGACGGCTACCCCCATTCCAGCTAACGACTCCCTCAGGCGCAAAAGCTCTGAAAAATGAGCCTTGACGTCACCACCTTCTTCACACCTCGTCTCCTGGAGCCTCCGTCTCAGATCTATCTGGACAAGTTCGGTTTTGCCTTCATGTATGTGGCATATTTCCTTCCAGATTTCGGACGCGGATGCTAACTTTTGGACGCGTAACAGCAGCCGATCTGTGATCGTGCAAAATATTTGCTGTTTTACGAGTGAGTTCTTTTGTTGATACTCATCGGTCTTTGCGTCGAGCTCATCGATTTCTTTCTGCGTAGGTGTTGTACCATCCGGCTTCGTAACGGCCCCCGTAGAGCTCTTTACGAAAGGCGTAGGCTCTTTAGCTCGTCCATCGGTATATCTCGTAAGTCCTCGTGCACCTATAGCCGTTAACGTCCTTTCCTTGTAGGTTATCCAGTTCGAGCCGTCTTCGGCGAGCTTCGGGATGTTAAAAAGGTTTGAATTGGTGCTGGGAGTCGACGAGTCCATGGAGGAGTCAGGGCTCATAACCTGTGGAGGAACGATACACGTGGGAGGTTTTACGACACGCTAGAACAAAGGTACGAGTCTCAGTATTCGTTTCGAATCTCTATTAACAATTGTTTGTACCTAGAACAAAGGTACGACTAGATGTACGTCAGCGCTTGCGCTCGAACGTTACAGTGGGAATTGTACTTACGTCTCAGTATTCATTTCGAATCTGAGACGCATCGACGAAAACAGCGTCCTCTTATACGGTGAGTCTGCCAGCAATAGCTTTGATGAAAAATATATACTTAAAGAACGAAAAGATTGCCGACGTTGACACGTCGTCGACGTTCTCCGTTTGGAGACGCTCGCACTCAATGTGCTCTATTCTTCGGCCATATCGTCCTTTCCTTTCTCAGCTCTCTCTCTCTCGGCCTTACTTCCCTCGGACACATCGGCTCTCAACACATTCTTCGGCCAGCAGAGAAGGAACTACAGCTTCGGATAGCTCGTCTGCAGACTCCAAAGATGTAGCATCAGAGTCATCACTGAATAGGAATAAGGGGCCCAGGAGAATATGTCGGATGACGCACCTGAACGGTCATAGCAGGGTATGAGGTCCCCAAAACTCAGCAGCGGACCCGGCCGATCTGGATAATTTTGATTCTGTCTCGTTGGGATAGAAAAAGTTGAATAAATTCCTAAAAGCTGGTTATAACAAGTTTACTCCGTATTTCAAAGCACTCACAAAGGCCATGATACGATTTACAAAAGCGCGATAATAAGGGTTTCTTCTCGAGCCCAGAGGAGACAAACCGAAAGAATGCTTAGTAAGATAAATTTATTATTGCCTATGGACAATTACAGTGTACGACGTCTAATTCTGTTAGGATGAAAAGGAACACTGTTAGAATATCAATTATTATGACAGATGTAAAAGAAAATATACCTAAGTTATACGGACAGTGTGACAGTTGAGGTGGTGAAGTTTGACGCGGCATGTGGAGGTGGTGAGGTCTGACGCGGCATGTGCTACTTGTGACGCGGCATGAATGAAGTTTGACGCAGCACTGACGCGCATGTGACGCGGCAACTGACACGGTATGTGCTATGTTTGACGCGGCACTGTAGTAGGCCTTGACGCGGCATAGAGTGTGGATGTTGATATTAGTACAGAGACTGCAAAGATATTCGGGAGAACTTGTCGTGGTGTGAGTAGTGCTTGACGCAGCCTAAACGAGGCTTCTGACATGCCATGGTTGAGGCTTGACGTGGTGGTGCAGGGTATAGAGAGTGGATCAAACTTGACAGGGTGAGGTCGAGGCTTGACGCAGTGAGACAACATTTGACACTGCATCTGAAAACCAACATAGATGAATGAATTAGAGGTAATGCAACAATATAGGACCGACGCGCAAGATGCATACTAGTAGTATGAACGCAGAGGACAAGCACTGTAAATTTGGTGAGAGGTGAATACTAGAGCCTGTACGCAGGCAGACACTCATATGTTGATCATCAACGTGCACTGCCATCAACGACGATTCAAAGTGTTTGGAATGCGATATGTAGTTGTGTAAACATGATCTGTACGTAGGAATTTGTTACAGTGCCGCGTCACAGGCGCGTCACGACCGCATCAATTTCACCTGGCCCAAACAAAATCCTTGAAGCAAATTCCCGCTACCGTTAGGGAGTGGGTCTTGTCGGTTTTGATTTTCACGTTTTGGCGGTAAATTCGTCCGTTCCTGGCGACCCTATCTTTTTCGCTTGATATAGTAATGGGCTGTGCTCATCGATCGATCACAGACCTAGCCTCTTCCTGCTCGTTATCTCATATTCTCTTCAAACTCCTGAATCGTCATGTCGTTCCTCGGCCACTTGCCTGTATCTGTTGTTTTCAACCTGGAATCGTGTCGTTGTCTTGTTTCTGCTTCGATTGCACGCTCGCTCGGTCATTCGGGTGTGGGCTCAGTTTTTTCCGAAGTTCTCACGGCATCCTATGAAGGCTGCTCGCTCACCACCAATGCCGAGTTTGTGGTCACACGCGCTCTTGATTCTGATGTGGTTGTTGGGATGAATTGGATCGCTGCCTGGCGCCATGTTGGACTTGAAGACGTGATTTCTGACCCAGAATCTAGCTCCTGTACTTATTTACAAGGTGATGAAATTTTGATTTTGAAGTCTACTGCGTTGACTTTTGTTTTTAAGAATCTCAGTGTATGGTTGCAACTCGCGCTGATTATATTGCGCCTGTTGATATGGTGTCCGATTCATGTCAGTCTTCGTCCTTCACCGGGGCGGTTTCATCGTCTCGTAGACGTTCAGAGTTGATAATTTGTGACATATTTTTGGGGTCGTATCATGCTGGTATTCGCATTAGTCCTTTTTCTGTTGAAGTCACGTTGCTTTCTGATGCATGCACCTTGCATGATTTAGATCTTACGAACTTTCATATGCTGGCTGAGCTGCGCGATCTGTTGTTGCGACATTTCCTTAATGGAGAGTGTGTGGTTCTGGCTGCCCGTTTACGGCACGGTGATTATACTGCTTGTTGTGAAATTGCTGCAGGATTTGGTGGGCCTTCAGATATGGTTGACTGTATTCTTGGCGCATTGACAGAGACACATGCATCTGCAATATCAGGTGATCATCTTTGGATTGTCGCTCAGAGTATTTGCAGTGATTTGGACCATGTACGTGTGCCACTAGAACATTGTAGGCGAAAAGCCATTTGCATATTGAATTCCTTTCATAACCGTTTGGTCTATGAGGCTGTTTCTAAGTCTTCGCTGTCACTGTTTGCTGAGGTTGAACACATATCTAAGTCCTCATTGGAGGCCATAGCGTCTTGGCATGGTTTGTGCTATGTGGGTACAAAAGATCAGTTGCTCGATAGGATTTTTGATCACACTTCCAAGGGAACGTGTGTGTTGAATGCACAGGATCATCAATTGGCATGTTCTCATATTGTTGATGAGTGCTCCGTTGATAGTGGAGGACAATGCGATGTCAGCACTGGTGTTGCCACGGACGGCAATGGTGATTCAAGCTCACAGATGACGGACGTGCAGATCAATCTTTCAAGCTCATTGAGAAAAACCATTGTGCGCAAGCCGTTGCTGTGTTTATTGTGTTGCCATGAAGTGGATCATGATGACAGTGACAGTCTTTCGCAGCTGAGAAAATGTCTGAAATCATACATTGGTGTCCTCCAGAAAGGGAAACGAGCGCAAGCTTTTCGTGTTCGTAAACAGAATCAGTATGTTGCGATGGAGACGGAAAAGACTCGATGTACTTCAGAATGGCCTCATATGGTGTCTGAGGAGCGGAAAAAGTGCGTGATTGAGATTTTTCATGAACAAACTTGTTCTGAAGCGCTAGCTACCTTTGTTTGTTTTGCTTGTGCTGCTGAGTATAATTGCAAAGAGAGGCAAGAGCTGTCTTTTGATGATTTCGATGTTACTCTTCTGAATCGCCCTGATGTGCGCCTGCATAAAGGGCGTGTTGTTGATGAGGGTTATATCAATAAAGCCTCGGTAGACTCGACTATTGGTGCGGAGTTCCTTGACAACGTGATGTATGAACACTGAGGCTTGGTGTTTGATTCTATGCAGTCTGACCATCCTATTGGTGTACATTGCTGTAAGGGATGCACTTTGTCGTTGAAAAAAAGTAAGACTCCTGCATTGGCTGTGGCAAACCATAATTTCATCAGCCCTCTCCCTCTTGAGTTGCAGGACCTTAGTGTTGCAGAAGAGATGATGATTGCACTGTGCAGAGCCAAATGTTTTATTCTACATTTGCGAGAGGAGTCATGCAATATACCAAATGCTCAAAGAGGCTTGAAAGGCAACATGATCATTTTCCTGCAACGTCCTTCAAAAGTGTTGGAGATGCTTCCTCCATCAATTGAAGATGTATTAACACCGATATGGGTTTTATTTGTTGGTTCATCTCCACCAACTACCGATTGGTTGCGCAAGCATGCTAAACCATTGATCGTGCATAAAGAGAAAGTCTGGTCAGCATTAGTGTGGTTGTGTGAACATAACGTACTCTATAGCGACGTGCTCATCGATCATGACTGTTTGGATTCAATGAGTGAGGAAGATATTTTGCCAGTTCATATTGAAACTGTGCCTGAGGATGATGCACGCGCTGAAGATGTGTTGACCTCATGATACAATGGCGATCATAATTGCAATGCAAATTCATTGTTTGACAAAGAACCTATTTTTAGTGACAAGGTTGCAGACTCGAGTACAGCATCATCCGCTGAGGATGTCTTCCAACATGTCATTGTCACTGATGTGGATGGCAATGCTCCAGGTCATGAATTGCGTGCAGCCGCACCTCGTCATGTGAAAGAACAGTGTGGTGGTTTTACATATACAAGTCCCGCATGGGCTGAATCCTATGAACGAATACGTTAATCCTGAGTTACTCCCAAAGGTTTATCCCACTCTGTTTCCATATGGAGTTGGGGGGTTTGAGCATCCTCGTCGTACAAGTCCAGTATCGTTTAAACGCCATGTGAAGCTTCTCTTTAGTCTGGCTGATAGGTGTTTCCAGGAGCATTACTCCTTTTTGTTTATTGTGTTTAACATTTTGCAATGTAGAAAATCGCTCTTACATACCAGTTTAAAAGTCAAACGGACTTCATTCGGTACAGTGTCACAAAGTTTTGTGTCTGTGTCATCAGCAGCGGTTCATACGGTTGCTGAACGAGTTGTGAAGGGTGATTTTGTTACAGCTTATACTCCAGAAGAACAAAAAGTGCGCTGATTATTGAAGGAAGTGAACAGTGTGACATCGCATGTCCTGGGATCTGGTTCTGCATGTGCTGTGATGTGTAGTCAAATCAGAGGCTTAATGTTTGACAAAGGCTTGCCAAATTTTTACATCACAATCAATCCTGCGGATGTATACAATCCTATTGTCAAGTTTTTGGCAGGCGGTGAAATTGACATCAATGATATGTTGCCTGACAATGTGCCTGACTTTTGGTGACAATCTATTTTGGTTGCTCGCAATCCTGTAGTGGCTGCAAGGTTGTTTGATCTGTACATGAAGTCGTTCTTGAGTGCTATCTTGGGTTACGATAAAGCGAGTGGTGTCCTGTTTCAGCATATCAATGTGAAACTCCGTCAGCTTGATATCAGAAATGTGGAGAATGAATTGATCCCACCTCAGGACTGGTACACGAGCCTTAAGCATGGAACCCTGGTCATGATCAGGGCAACCCTCCACACCTTCAATTGAAAAGAACGTCGAGTAAGTCCAGCTACACATTGAAGGTACAACAATTCAGATGGTGAGTCTGAACAATGTGTTGGGTCTTGCAGAACCTAGCTGCTATTCGACCTAAAGGGTTTCTGGACTAGGCTTAAGGCTCAGAGGAGAGGAAATATCATAGAAAACTGCTAAGCACTCAGACTCATACTGGTAACTGGTGAAAAGATTGCTTGCTTATGTAAGCTACAAAAGTGCCAACATAAGGTAAGGTAAAAACAGTCTCTACAAGCCCAGCCAGAAATGAATCCCTACAATGTTACATGACAAATAAATCAGCTGAACTAAATAATGACTAGGTATATCAGCTAAACGGACACACCATTCGTGTATTAGATGCCTCGAAATTGGAGATGGAACCGTTGAGCTCGCAACCTAACGGATTTGATACTAGTGGAAGCTCGTCGACCTCCAATTCGTGGGTGTCAGACGCGATGGCAAGTGTGCAACTAGGAAAAAGGGGAAGACAAGAATGAGGAATGAGAAAGCTGAGATGCAGTCCGAACCAAACAGCGAGCAATGTACGATACAATATCGAGTAGTGTAAGTCTGATGCAATGTCAAAGGTAAAGTTGAGACAAAGAAAGCCAAATCTAAATAAACACACATCCAAATATTGGGACTTAATATTACGACAAACCAAAGCCAGTCAGTGTGGCGTTGGAAAAGAAATCCTGATGCCTCGCCAATCTTCACATCCCACACCGAGACTGTTTGGTCGCACAAATCTGAAACGACACGACCTCCATCTGGAGAAAATGCAATGGACATAAGACATCCACTGTGGCCTTCGGACGGAGTATGAAAAGACTTGATGGCAAACATATGACTAATACACCTCGGCAAGTCGGGTAGCGGGCTTTGCCACTTTAGCTGGCGCTAGGTACTTATATTGACATGACGGCTCGGAGTTGTTGGAAGAAGAGAAGAAGATACACGCGGTCCAGAAGTACGGACACATGCTACCAGCTCCAGAGGATTAACCTCCGAGCTTCTTTTCCTTTTCCGTGTTGTTATCATACTTATCATTCTTATCACCTTCCACACCACACTGTTTCCCTACCGGCAACATTGTCACCGGTAGTTATCTTGCCTTCTTGCACTTCTCGTGCTTCTTGACTCTTGGTACTTAAACGCAGTCCCCATCATACTTTCACCTCAGCGCTGTTTCTAACTGTCCGCTGAGGTATGTATTGACTAACTACTCATACTCATCCTTGCTAACTTGTACACTAGACTCCGTTCTAGGTACATATAATATTAGCGCTGTTTCTAACTGTCCGCTGAGACTCCGTTCTAGCCTTTAGGAGTTTGATGTGAACTTCGTTTCAAATAATGCTACTGCAATGATGCATGCTCACTCCTGCAGGCCCATCCAAGCTCTCTGCTATTAGATTTTCATCACCAAACAGAGTGCATTCGATCAAGATATTTCCCACAGACATGCAGCCTTCAGACATCATTGCATATTAAGATAGGCCTCAAGCAGTTTCCGCAAACATCACGTGATAAAGTGTGATGAAGTGTGACAAAAGCAATGAATGTGTATAGGATGTCCGTGGCGACAAGATATAAAAAAACGGAAATGGAAGAGTTGTAGTATACATACTTCTCAACAAGTCATCCGTTCCAGAATTACCATTTGTGTGAAATTGAAGGAGGAGATGGCAACACAAGCAAGATTTAAGGCATACATTGTACATAAAGCCCCCGAACACTCTGGACTCCGCTTCACCTACCATCGGCCTGATACTGAAACCTCCCAAAATGCCAAAATGGTCACGAAAAGTCCGGTCTGCGATCGAGAACCTAGGGAGTCAGGCAAAAAGCAGAAAATATCAGTAGATAAAGAAAATGTGAGTTTTCAATTGTACTCACTTTTGAAATCAATGCTAATGCCTGTGCAGAGTCATCCAGTACACATAGCTTCGAGTTCTGTAGTAGCTTCAGGCTGTGAAACCACTTTTTCATTCAATTCTACACCTTTGAAGTCTAAGCTCCCAGTTGAGATTGTTCTGTCAGCCTCAGGTCAGGTTTTTGTGCAACTCAAGAACAATGGTGCCACTATGGACTCGGATTCAGCAATAATGTCAGAATTCGAGAGTGCACACTTAAATTGAACATAGTCTTCATATTAACATGTACCTACTAATTTTATTACATACTGTAAATCCTGCAAGTTTGTTCTGTATCACCGCTGCGGCGCTGCCAGTATGCTTCTGGAGTCCCGGTACCAAATGCAGTAATCACAAGTAAAGTCACAGCAAGTCACATCACGTGATGTTTGCGGAAACTGCTTGAGGCCTATCTTAAGTGCAACTGTTTTTGATCATGCTGCGTGATATAGAAATCACCATATAGTCGGCCGCACAGGACCAGAAGCGTCCTTGTTTGATGTATATTTCAAACCCTACCCCGTGGGCTCACCGGTGGATGCGAAGCAAAAGCTCAAGGCACCCAATGCACTCTTGCCAACCATCATCTCATGCGCAGGCGGTATAGTGGAATATGCAGTGAACATGGGCTCTGAGGTACTTTGAATGCCATTTATATTTTGTCTTTCCCAACTAAACTCTCAGTTCCCCTCGTACCTGCCTTCGACGCTGTAAAGAGTAATGACCCAACCACTCTTGCAAGGAATTTGCTGGCACTCATTATCAATGTGCCCTGCCTTTCCCTCGTCATCCGCGTTATGTTCTGCCTCAAGCAACCTAATGATAATTGGAATTTCCTCCGACCTGAACAAGGAGGAAATGGATATCCATTGGGATACTGCATTCTGATCTTTGAGCCATCCTGTGGTGGATGTCATTTTATCAGAGCAATTGCATCGTTTTGCAAAAAAGGTCTCAGGCTGTCGGTCCCAGGGTACGTCTTCCAAAATCAATCCACACCTGAACCCATTAACTCGTTTTGTAGGACGATGCACAGTCATATCTCATTGCAGGCATTTCTCGCTCTGCTTCACAGACTCCTGAGTTTGCACAGGCTTTGATGGTAGGTCAAATTTCAGGTGCACAATACTTGTTTTCACGCTCTCGCAGCAAGTGTTCGAACCTGAGATGATATTTGACTCATCAACCTTGGATCAAGACGCTCTATTCACACTTCTGGATGCATCTACAAATCCCGGTTGTTGAAGGCATCGTGGTTTCTTAATTTCTTATGAGCTGTTCTTGCGCTATCAACAGTGAACCACGGGATGAAGAAGGCTTGTTGACACTTGAGTGATTGGGTAGGATCATGGACAGTCTTTGATCAAGCGCTGTCCGGGGTTCCAGATATAGATTACACCAGGGCAGCACTATTTCTAAAGGACATCGGAAAGGACGAAAAGAGTTTTGGCATATGGATGTCATGTATCATCACTCATGAGAACCATCTTGTGAAGATCAGAGATGCGCCAGTATATGAGGGCATGTATCCGCTAGATTTGATGCCTGACTTGAACCCCTCTGAGGATATAACCTGTTCGGAGTTTATGGCGTTCGTTAGGGCATATGTTGGAGTTGCTTCAGTGCTAGCTGAGTACGCCTGGTCGGACAGCCTTCCAAAATTATATTGTCGTGAGTGCACTTTGGGTGTTTTGCGCTTGTAGCAGGAAATTCCTGGATATCGCGTGGCAAGCCATACCTATCATTACTTTACTATGACTGACCCACAACTGCAGGGATCAACACCGAGTCCCTCCTTTATGCACTTGGAAAGCATTCGGCGCAGTAGTAGAATCAAACGACAACCTCTCCTCCCTCGACTCCGAGAACATCGTCAACATGTTCCTACTCCTCGATTCGTTGTAGGATGCACATCAGCAACAAGGCAATGATAAGATGAAATTCAATCATCGTTCCTCATCGCTGGAGGTTCTATGAAACACACCACGGTCTTCAACAGCGGGCATTAAGGTAGGTTACTACTTATAATGAAACATACCCTGGAAAGCCTTCGGTACCTTTAAGTGGTGCCAAGGCTGGTGAACTGATCAACGGTATGGAGTCTGATTACGCCGAGTCGTGAGATTTTAAAAACAGATCTAGTTTCTGAAGAATCAATATATTCGAAAGCAATTCTTTTGTTCATTGTACAGACTAAGTTTACTCAGAATTCATCATTGCTCGGATCTGTCCTTCTCTTGCTGTGCTCATGCTTTCAAAAGAGCAGCGAAATGGTTCAGGCTAACTTCAACAGAGTTAGCCCGCAGGTTATTGGATGCATACTAAGTCACTTACATCCCCAAGCCGGTGGTGAACTTTGGCTCCTCAATCCTGTCTCTGTTTGAGTCTTTGGCATGACCGATGCGCAAGACAGCGAGTATGGAGGCAACCACAGTCCACATACTGTTCTCTGCAAACCAACGACCTACCAAGGGAATTTGTCATTATCAGCACTGACAGATGATTGATCAGCTTACCAGGACAAATATGTCTGCAAGGGTCAGTTAATGATGTAAAATGAAAGCAAGTGTGGAATATTCACCTGCTGTGACCAAAGGCAAAATGGTTGACAACAGGGCTCTTCAGCTTCCTGTCAACAGTTAGATGGCAACTAGGATCGAAGCGCGATGCATCGGGAAATATGTCTTCATCCCGAGACAGTGCCCTGAGCAATGTTCAGCTCAAACCATTGCATGCACTCTACCCTGACATACCACTGATTGACCATTACTACTGTACCTGATTGAACTACAGATGAGTCAATGGCAACCTTGACTCATACCACTTCGAACCTTTGGGTATAGAATGCCCATCGTAAACATCATCATCTAAAGTTGCACGTGCAAATCCTATGCAAGGGGTAAGTCATGCAAGCACAAAGTTATATTACTGCCAACAAACCTAGGGGGGTGATAGGATACCATCTCATGACCTCGCAGAGAATGGCATCAATATAGGGCAGGGACGCCCTGTCATTAAGGCACGGCATTTTATCATGCCTCACAACTTGATCAATTTCTGCACGAGCCCGGACTTGGACGTCAGGATAGAGCACCATAGCCAGCAAGAATGTCTGCAATATGGTTGCACTCTGCGGGACATCAAAGTAAGAATCAGAACTGCTCAAGTGGCGACTCACAGTTTCCATGCCAGCTAAGAAGCCGAATTCCCGTCAATAAATGAATTATGTCCTGGTAAATAAAGACTCTTACCCATATATACTGTGAACGCAACAGGCTTCATTATATCTTTGTCAGCATCATCGTGGGGTTGGCTGAGAAAGTCAGTGATTAATGAGCGTGAAGCAGTGCCATTTGCCTTCATGCGAACAGATCAGGTGAAATTTTCATCCACAACTGCACAAACGTACCACCTGTGCCTTCACTTCGTTGAAGGGCTCATTCAAAAGGTGTTGAGATAATTCTCTACTGTGTCCTATCAGTGAATGTGCACTGAAGCACCAAGACGGCAACTTTTCGACTGCAGCCTCATTCTAAATATCCAAAATGATGTCATCGACAGAGGCGCTCACGGAAAGGAAAGGTTGTGAACATGGCAGCCTTTTTAGGGGTAACAATATGTTGTACAAGATCAGCTAGTACGTGTGCGCAGGCAAGGTATGAGCCTTCATTGCCGTCAGCAAGGTCTCCGTATGTCACGGCTACAATTATGCTTCCCGCGTATCTGTCACAAGGATTGATTGTCAGCTGGACCATAAATACGTCACAAAAACACCAGTTGATTAGGTACGAACACTTCAGTGTGGTGCTGTATGTCATCAATTGCAGTGGCACCTAAAAGATTGATGACTAGTCTATTTGCATGGCGAGAGTATATCTCATGGTATGACACCGAGAGTTTGGCCTTGAGGACTTGATGGAAGATCTTGCGATGTTGTCGTAAAGTCTGACCATATGGAAACATTGGAGTAAGGAAAGCCACTTCAGCTCTGCATCATCAGTGGATGAAAAAAATTGAATGAAGACTGGCAATGCATACCTTTTGTTAGTGCGCCAAACAGGGCGACTAGAGTAATTTGCAGAACATTTTTCCAGCAAATCCTGCGCGACAGTTTCGGAGTTTATGATGATTAAGTCGATCCCAAGTACGCGGCAGCGAACGATTTTTCCTATGATCAGGTATGAAATTGAATACAAGAAGGTTATTGGCTTGCTACCAACCATATGCCTTCCCCCACTCAGTATATGTGAGCGAAGGTCATTTAGTATCCAATTGCAGCATGTTGCCTAAGAATGGTAAGGGATGAGGGCCAGGTGGCAGAGGAAAAGGGTAGACACATCTGCAAATGAGGCCCAAAGGGACAACCAGGGCAATAATGCATGATATCCCTAGAGCGAGAATAGCAGAAGAGAGCATGAGAAAGAATTATAGTCAAGTCCAACACATGTGTTAGTTCATTCTATATTATTCAGATTGTCAGTTTGCTTCTTCATGTAAAAAATCAACACTGCATCACGAACCCGTTCATTACCCAATGACTTACCGCGTTGGTCACTACAATCAGTAGATGATGTCCCAGGACCCGCAGCGATTAGAGTTCCGAATATGCACAAACAAGAAGTTCCTCCCTGGCTCGAGCATCATTTTACGATGCTTGTAGTTAGTGTAGTCTCGGGCGACTCGGATGTGTTGGATGCTATTCTCGTGCATCACAGCTACGCTATCTCTGCTAGTGCTGCCGTGCCGCAAAGCGAGTAAACAAACTAAAACAATTTACTAAGTATATCATACTTACTCATAGGGCAGGAACGGCTTATGTCCTGCTATTCAAATGATATCAATACTGAATTAGGATACAGAGCAAGGAGGCAAATGAGTAGCATGGCACCCAATACTTGCCAGTGACCGTGCACTGCGGCTATGGATGCTAAGCCAGGCGTGCTAATTATCAACTTCAACATTCAGGGCCACCATTCTTGTATCAATCTATGAACTCGACACATCGACACTGAAGACCATCAGAGTTCCCTTCCAAGGCCACACCGACCCTGCTCTTGCACTCTTGTTTGATGATGTTCTCCTCGACAGTGCTTCCTATGACAAAACCATGAAGCTTTGGGCCTATGGCAACCTTGTTCTGGAAGCTCTCATATTCTCACCACTGGCTTGCACGTTTTACGATGAATCCAATGTTTATATACACAACCCGACCCCTGCTCTACTTGCTATACAGTCTACCCTCCCCAAAGTACGCATCGGCCCGCACGAATCCATCTTTTGTGAACTAACCTTCTCTTGAAGACCGATGCTACTCTCCAGCATTTACTTGAGGTATGTATCCCACTATTATTATCACGTTAGGCCAATTCACATGAATCATAACAGTTTGATACAACCCGTCATCATAACGTCGTATGCAGAACCCCAACAAGATGGCCTATCATTGTATCATCTTTCCCCAGGCATCAGATCCATTCGCCTACAATAGACCATCAACAACCTATTTTTCTTTGCCATGTCCACAAACTCTTTCACTTTACTTCTTGAACGAATTCAGTTCCTCCTCTCCAGCCTTGTGATCTATGAAATGTCGTCTAATATCTACTTATCGAGTTGATTTTACCGTTTCTCAGTTCTCTGCTATGTCGCCTTTGCCTCCCAGCTGCTCAGCCTTGCTACAGGCCGCCACTCAGTTTGATGATGTCAGTCTTCAGTTTAAATATACTCACAATCCATGACTGAGTTCGTATCCAGTTCGCAATGAGCTCTCTGTCCCATATGGTTGGGCATTTCCGAGACATTGTAGGACTATATTATCAACCACTGGCAGAACGACATAAGAATTTTGTTTGAATGTTACTATCTGAGCCTTTTGAGCTTCTAACCGAGCTTAGGCCAGAGAACCCTGAAACCTACTCAGAGTCCCACCAATCTTGGGTCGAGTTATGCACAATAAACGATTTCCATTGGCTGCTCATGCTACTGAGGCACTAATACATACTCGTAAGTGATCAGTTCAGGTGGTCCAGGGATTGTTGATCGCGGAGAGTGATCATGAGGTACAGAAGTCAGGAAACCTCCATTAATTTGCGAGGTATTGATGGTGAGATCAAGATACATGAGATTCAGATTGAGGAATCAGAATCGAAAGTGCTGCGGCAGTGTAACCAAGATAGTGTACGTATGAGAATGCATCCAACACGTTGTCTGAGACTAAACTAAACAGGGATTGTAAAATGATGCTTTAGCTGGAACGTTGGACGAGAGTTTCAACTCTAAATGTACCGCCTTAGATTGTGAGTTACCAGTTACCAATGGTATGGATAACACTGACAAAGACACTCTTCCACTAGTATTAACACGAGAGACAGAAACCAAGGACCTATTGATTTACTGATGGGACTGCAGGTGAGGCATTTTTGTCCTCACATTTGTATAAAAGGGACACTGCATGCCATTTATCCTCAGCCCCTCTGCAATTCATAGGCTCTATCACTGTTCATCAGAAATAGGAGCCCATGGAAGCTCACCCAAAGATATTTTACCTCCCAGATACCATGGCCAACTGGCCGTGGCCTTGCATAATCAACCCTCATTATGAAGCCGTGAAAATTGAAGCTGAGGCTTGGTTTCGTAGTTTCAAAGCTGTGGATCCTGACACATTGAAAGAATTCAACAAGTGTGATCCAGGTTCAAGCTATGTTACTACCTCTAAAGATCGTTGACGCATATCATTCTTATAGCTCTCGTAGTAGCACTGTGTTATCCCACTGTGTCAAAAGGTCTGTATTCAACCCTAACGCACACGACTGACCCTTGACTTTATTCTTGCAATGTAGAACACCTTCAAGTCACTTGCGAAATGATGAATATGACCGCAATTATAGAGGATACCACCGATAAAAGCACTGCAGCAGGCACCAGAGGAATAGTGGACATCATCCTTGATGCCTTACACAATCTGCATAAGATCAGACCAAAAGGTGAACACATCATTGGAGAAATGATGCAACAGTAAGTACCCCCTGCTTGTTTTATCATGCATCTGAATTTTATGTAGATCTTCGGCTCGTATGGTGCAGACCATGAGCATGAGTTGTTATTCCCGCTTTGTTGATGGCTTGACAACATACCTTCGTGCAGTAGCTGTCGAGGCCGTCGACTGTGAACAAAGACGCTGTGTCGGTATCGATGACAATTTCAAGTATCGACGGGAAACATCTGGCATATTACCTTGGCTCGGACTATGTGCAGTGGAGATCGATCTTCCTGATGAAGTGTTCTACCATCCTGCTATTGTGGATATGGTGGAATTCGCCGCAGATTTGATTACAGTTGATAATGTAAAGTCACACAAAAGACTTGGTTTCTGATATCCTAACGGCCTTCACAGGATATGCTCTTGTACAATAAAGAACAAGCGAGCGGGATTGACCACAATTCACTGATAACTGCGGTCATGCTAGAACTTGGCCTTGACATAGGCAGTGCGATGGGTTGGGCAGCCGCTTACCACACTAAACTCGAGGAAAGATTTACCAACGGTTTTGCAAATATTCCTTCATGGGGTCCTTCCACCGATATCCTGGTCAAGGAATACCTTAATGGACTAGGAAACTGGGTGCGAGGACATTATTGTTGGAGTATCGAAATTGAAAGGTCCTAAGAATCTCACAGTGGTATGGATTGTCACTTATGATGATTTAATTTGCAGGTACTTTGGCACACTGGCAATGGCTGCGGAGATACAGCAAACTAGGCTTGTCCCATTATCATCAAGTGTTCAATGGAAAGCCACTGGCGAAGGATCGCACCAATTGCCGCCGCAGTCAGTAATGGGGTCTCTCCTTTCGTTTATTATGTCCTTTGTCTACAATAAATAACAAGGATGTATGTACTATGTATCATAACAGCACTTACGCACCATGCCCCGAATTTTCTCCTCTTATCAAATTTATTTAGCTTTGAGCTTGACACGAACATTGCCTCATCAGCTAAAAAAAAAACTCAGTGCTTTTTCAACCCAATTCCTGGACCCAATCAGGGTACAGCTGGCAGGTATCTCACGCACCAATCACACGTACAAGAAAAGATTGGAAAAAATCCCCAGTGATGTCACGCCCCCTGAGACTCAACTGAGACTACCCCCCATCATACACCTCATACTAGTACATACTAAGTGATTAGCTAAGATGATCTGGGGATTGCGGAGTACAGAAATCAGGAAGCCTTTATTAATACAACACATGGATCTAGATATAACTTATAAGGAACCAAGGAAGGTTCTTTGTCAGTGTACGTCATAATTGATATGGTCCAGCGTCTAGTACTAAACTAAGGCGAGCAGGTTATATGAAGATGACCAACATGTCTTGCTGTGACTATAATCCCTTCCCATGCTCTCCACTGCTACTCTCGCTCTAGGGATATCGTGCGTTATTGCCCTGGGTATCGCTTTGGGTCTCATTCGCAGACGTGTCTACCCTTTACCTCTACCACCTGGCCCTCATCTGATACCATTTTTGGGCAATGTGCTACAATTGGATACCAAACGACCTTGGCTCACATATACTGCATGGGGGAAGGCATATGGTTGGTAGCAGGCCAATAGCCTTTTCGCAAAGTTCTTGTATTCAATTTCATACCTGATCATAGGAAAAATCGTTCGCTGCCGCGTACTTGGGATCGACTTAATCATCATAAACTCCGAAACTGTCGCGCAGGATTTGCTGGAAAAATGTTCTGCAAATTACTCTAGTCGCCCTGTTTGGCGCACTAACAAAAGGTATGCATTGCCAGTCTTCATTCAATTTTTTTCATCCACTGATGATGCAGAGCTGGAGTGGCTTTCCTTACTCCAATGTTTCCATATGGTCAGACTTTACGACAACATCACAAGATCTTCCATCAAGTCCTCAAGGCCAAACTCTCGGTGTCATACCATGAGATATACTCTCGCCATGCAAATAGACTAGTCATCAATCTTTTAGGTGCCACTGCAATTGATGACATACAGCACCACACTGAAGTGTTCGTACCTAATCAACTGGTGTTTTTGTGACGTATTTATGGTCCAGCTGACGATCAATCCTTGTGACAGATACGCGGTGTCTTGTTACTTAAGGGTCTTATATAAAAGTTGTGTATAATGACAACACAATTATACATGGTGAAGACTTCTTGCCAGTCCTTAAGTCCACGGTCTCCGACTTTTCTACTTCGTGGGAGGTAACATGGTGAGTTCTTGGGAGGATTTAGTTTGTTGTCCTCTTCTTGTGTAGTCTTATACGAAGTGTTGTGGAAAGTTCTGTGTTCTGGATAAATTCGTTAGGTTTGTTTCAGCCTAGTAGGTCGTGTTTCAACCTATGAAAGTCTGTTTCAACTTTGTCGTCCTTAGATATGTGTCTCACTTTCCGTTGAAAGAGAGAGTCTTTTGTATACACGTAAAGCTTAGAATGAGAGCTGTTCAATGGTTATATAGTCAACCCCTGTAAGGTAGTATATAACCTAGAGTAGGATAACAATAACGAAATTATATAGTCAACCCCTGTAAGGTAGTATATAACTTAGAGTAGATAATGATATCTTAGATTACCTCAAGGCACTTATATTGGCCTGCACTTTAAGTCTTAGTGGTCTCACACGGTTTGAGATAAGAGTCAAGTGGGAGGATTTAGTTTGTTGTCCTCTTCTTGTGTAGTCTTATACGAAGTTGTTGTGGAATGTTCTGTGTTCTGGATAAATTCATTAGGTTTGTTTCAGCCTAGTAGGTCGTGTTTCAACCTATGAAAGTCTGTTTCAACTTTGTCGTCCTTAGATGTGTCTCACTTTCCGTTGAAAGGGAGAGTCTTATGAATACACGTAAAGCTTAGAATGAGAGCTGTTCAATGGTTATATAGTCAACCCCTGTAAGGTAGTATATAACCTAGAGTAGAATAACGATAATGAAAGTTATATAGTCGACCCCTGTAAGGTAGTATATAACTTTTAGAATAGATAGTGATATCTTAGATTACCTCAAGGCACTTATATTGGCCTGCACTTTAAGTCTTAGTGGTCTCACACGGTTTGAGATAAGAGTCAGGTGGGAGGATTATATTTCATGGGTGAAAATGGGGTCCTTTTATACCTTTTGGGAACCCCCTTACTAAGCATGATTAATCAGATGGATTGGTAAGAATGTGGCTTACAAACCAGGTGATGAATCAGCTTATTACTAAGTACATTACAAATACAGTGTAATCTTACAAAGAAATTAGAAACCATGACAAACCATGACTAAACATGTTGAGTCATGTTAAATGTTGTTACAAAGCATGGCCAATCATGACTAAACATGTTGAGTCAGCTTAAATAATGTTACAAACCAGAATATTTCCCAGTCACATGATGTGATGACAAATAAAAGCTGGTGGCTGAAAGAAGCCAAATACAAATCAACAGTCAGAAATAAATAGAGATACAAAACTTGGTGGCTGAAAGAAGCCAAATAAAAATAAACAATGAGAAATAAACAGAAGGTCACATGCTTGATACAAATACAAGGTAAAATAAGCCTGTAAAGTGAGAAATAAAATACAAGACAATGAAATAAAGGAAAAATAGAGAGGTAACTTAGTGACAAAGGGCCAGACAGTCTCTCATATCTTCCTTATCACTCTCTATATATATCTGACATGGTATGAATCACATACCATGCATGACATCCACCCCGGACAAAAAATCGCAACTGTCCCCAGTTGAAGGGTAGGTCATGACGTTTTGTTAATTGTGATGTTGTTAACTCCTCCATCTGTTTTCTGGGTTGACAAGATGGTGACATTCATCTAGGAGTCTGAAAATTTCGAAGTATACTGCACATGTAGGACATATTTGTGATAATGCTTCCTGGTAATTATGATCCCAGAAGTATATCATTTGATTGTAATGGGTTCTGATATCTTGAAAAATAAAGTCTTCGTGAAGTTTATTGCAATCCTTCTAACAAGATGTCAAATAAACTTGCAATGTTTTGTTGAATTCGCTTCTCTATAGTGGAGTCTTTTCCATTCATGATGTGATGTGTTTTGTTATTTGTCCTCTGAGAGGAAAGAAGTATCTGAATCTGATCCTGATGAATTTTCCTCATAGTATTGATCATTGTCAAGAGTATCTGCAATTGTTTGCAGAGTAGGATCGTTTCGGCTTATATATGGAATTAGTCTAAAGGAGGCTACACCACGTCTAGACAGAGTTCCATTCATTTCTTTTAGAATGTAGGATCCACCTTTGGTTTGTCTCTCAACAACAAAGGGTCCTAAGTATCGTGGTTTTGTTTTGCGATTCAGTTCTTTCTCAACTTGAGTATTTCGGACTAGTACAAGATCACCTGGTGCAAATGATTTTCTGTGCATCCTCAGATGATATTTCTGTTCAAACTGAAGCTTGGACTTAAATCTGGCCTTCTTTAATGTTTTAGCGGCACGTCTCAAGTCTTCAGGACGTCTTTCGATTTGGTGTATTCGTAATGTGAGGAAATCAACAGGATTCATATTCTCGTGAAATCCATCAACAAGGAATGTTGCTTCACTAAGGTCAAAAGGTAGAACAGGATGGACTCCATGTAATAGGTAGAAAGGTGAGAATCCAGTTGCACGGCTTGTGGTAATGTTTTCGGCAAAGAGTGCCTGAGGAACCTTCTCAGGCCATCGTGAGATGTGCTTTTCACAACTTTTTACTATTGCTTCTCTGATATTAAAGTGTCCACGTTCAACTACCCCATTTGCTTGTGAGTTGTAGGGCAAGATTTGAATCTGTGAAATGTCCACTTGTTGAAGTAAATTTTGGAATGCTCCCTTAACTTCGGAGCCATTATCGGTAACTATCTGTCCTATTGCTCCATATCGGCAATACAAGTCTTCCCAGAAAAACTTGGCCATAGCTTTGGCAGAGGCAGATCGTAATGCTCTTCCTTCTACATATTGTGAAAGATCATCTCGAGCTAACACTAGATGCTTCATACCATTCCCGGCAGGCATCTTGAGTATGTCAATGTAGATCTTTGTGAAGATTGTGGCAGGTGTAGAGACTGTGATAGGTATGTGCATTTTCTTGGTGCTTCGAATCTGACAATCATGACAAGATTGTACATGGTGCTTAACATCGGTATACATATGTGGCCAGAAGAATCTGTATCGAATAGTCTCAAAGGTAGACTGTACTCCTTTGTGACCTAAATCTTCATGTGCTCCTGTCAGTATAGACAGTCGTTTATCGGGGTCAAAAATAACAAGTAAAGGGGGTCTATCTGGTAGACGCTTGTACATCTTTCCCTTTTGTACGAAGAATCGAGTTGTACGCTTGACAAATTTCTTGCGTTTAGCAGTACTTTCAAAACTTGGTGCTTCAAGTGTGGTAAGGAACTTGAAAACATCTGTCAAAGTCTGCTCTTGATCAGCAGCTGACAAGAATACGGATGGTAGGTTATTGGGATTATATGGATGTGCAGTGAAATTTGAGATTGATGTGAATAGGGCTATTTCGTCTAACCAAGAGTCATCTTCAGGGATAATCTCTTCGTCTGAAGCTAGAGGGCGTCGAGATAAGCCATCAGGCCCTCTGAAACTTGTTGCTGGTACATGGTGAAGTGTGAAATCAAATAGGAGAATTCCTTGAATCCATCTATTGATTGTAGCATTTGGTTGTAGGTCGGGCTCATTAAGCATGCCTTTAATATATTTTGCGTCAACTTCAACATGGAGGTTCTGAACTCCAATGATGTGAAGTCTGTAATGTCGAAGTGCTCTGAACAGTCCATACAATTCTAACTTGGGCTGAGAGTATCGTGACTCTGCATCCCCCATAGGTAAAGAACCATATCGTGCTGGTCGTCGTCGTCCTTCATCATCTATTTGTGAAAGGATGATTCCTACAGCTATGAAGCTGGAATCGACTGATAAATATATGGGATTTGAGGAAGTATAGTCAATGCTTCTCATTGCTGGTGCTGAACATATACGTTCCTTCAAAGTTTCGAAAGAAATATCTTGCTTCTCTCCCCAAATAAAAGGGGCATCTTTTTTCCAAAGTTGGGTGATAGGTTTTGCTAGTTCAGAAAATCCTAGTATCCAAATACGAACTGTCCCACAAAGTCCCATAAATCCTCGGGCTTCTTTAACCGTAGTGGGGATTGGCCAGTTAAGAATTTTTGACACTTTCTCGGTATCAGGTAGTCTACCTTCTGGAGTACAGCGCTGTCCTACGATAAGGACGTCTGGAAGGCAACACTGAATTTTTGTAGCGGAGAATGTTGCACCTACGTCTTTTATACGGTGCATGATACGGTGAACATCATTTGCATGTTCCCAAATAAATCGTCTAATCCCTGGGTTTTCTTCTAAGACCTCGGGATTACCTTCATTGTCAGGATAGATAGTCTTTGGACCTTTGACTGGAAGGTCTTCTATGAAAACATTGGCTACATGTGGGATTTCATCCTGCAGTACAAAGCTGGTACATTTCTGAAATTCTGCAGGTGCATTTGTGTAGCCCATTGGTAAGGCTGTTAAGTGTAGCAGACCTAATGGTGTTAGGAAAGCTGTAAGATCTCTGCTTTCTGGGTGCATTTTACATGCATCAAATTCCCAGAATAAATTGAATATGGTGTAACACTGAGCTCCTGCAAATGACTCTACAAAGTCATCAACTATAGGAATGAGACCAGCATCTCGAATAGAAATTTTGTTGAGAGGTTGAAGATCATGGACTAGTCTTAGTTTTCCATTCTTCTTGAGTACACAGAACCAGCGTGAACGGTACGCAGATTGGCTTGGTTCATATACCCCTGCGTTAATCTTGGATTTGAGTAGTTCAATAACTTTCTGACGTATCCCAGGTGGGATAGGAATATTCTTATATTCCCAAGGTACATGAGGTACAGTGGGAATAATGTATGGGGTGAAATATGATTCTTTGAGAGTACCCCTATCAGTTTATTCAAATGCTAGGGTCTCTTGATTTAAATTCATGATGTGTTGAAAAAGTTTCACTTCTTCAGGTAGTAGAAATCCTTTTGAATTTATC